CCAAGAGTTGGACGCTCAACTGACTGAGCCACCCAGATGCCCCTGTAAGATTTATTTTTGTTGTAGATAAGTTTCATTGAGGAAAAGTCAAAAATTTCACTTTTCTTACATTAGTATCTCTCTTTCTTATACCAGTTCTGGTAGCATGCTTTATGGTAACAAATGTAAACATTCTAGTATATTATTAAGTCTACATTGGTTTAGTGTTGTTGTAGCCCATCAGGTTTTATTTGGAAGGAAAACACTAAATTCAAAACAGTAATTTGAATCACGTGTGAATTATTAAATTTTGGGGGCTACTCAAAATTATACAGGGAGATAATATCTGTGTAAATTTAATAAAAACAATCATTTGACAGTTGTTTTTCTGACCAAAGGTTAACAAACTTGAAAAGGAACAACAACTGAAACAACATGTTGGAAATCTGAATCAAGTTGCTGAAAAGCTTGAAGAAAAACATAATCAAATCACAGAGTTGGAGAACCTTGTACAGAGGATGGAAAAGGTAAGCCCATGGAGAATTAAAGGGATTCTTCCTGACAGGGCTGGGGAGAGAATGTAAGAAAATAACACCAAAATAAGTAAGACATTAGGTGAAAGTACGCTTTGCCACTACTGAGACTTTAGAAAGTACCCAATAATGTTGGTTTTTCCCCTTACACACTTAATATGGTCTGTACTGTCATGGATTGACCTCTACAGATACTGCTCATATCACTGTTAATTTCTCTTTTGAGTGTATGTATGGCTTAGACAGGGGAAGCAGGCAAGGCTGTGAATGGAAGCAATGGAAATGATCGCAAAGTCCGCCTATTCCTAGTAATAATACAGTGGATTGCTATAGTCTAATTCTATGTATTAGACTCAGTGAAGTATCCATTTTTTGGCCATCTGAGTTCACTTTAGGATTGTAAAATTCTATGGCTGTATTAGGACAGATAGAATTCACATTAAGAAAAGACATTCTGGGGTTCCTGACTGGCTCAGCCAGTTAAGCATCTGACTTCCACTAAGGTTGTGATCTCGAGGGTTCGGTTCGTGAGTTCTAGCTCCACATCTTGGTCTCTGCTGTTAAGGCAGAGCCCACTTCAGATCCTCTGTCTCCCTCTCTGCTGTCTCTCTCCCATGCTCCCTCTCTCTCAAAAGAAAGGAAAAGACATTCTGCAGAGATTGGAACTTCCTAAAGACAACTTAGGGAAGAGTAGTGACAGAACAAAAATTATTAAAAATTTTATGTAGTATGCCTGTGAGTGGCTGGCACTCTAAATATATACAAAAGGTGAGCACATAAACTTAATTATGCATTCCTTAGAATTTAGAACACAAACCAAGGAATACTGGGTTTTTAGTAGCAAAACAAACCAATAGAAAATTGTGCTCTCTGAAACTGAATTTGGGGTAGATAAGAATATAGGTTTTGGGGGCGCCTGGATGGCTCAGTTGGTAGGGCATGCAACTCTTGATCTCGAGGTTGTAAGTTCGAGCCCCACACTGGGTGTAGAGATTACTTAAAAATAAAATCTCAAAAAAAAAAAAAAGAATATAGACTCTGACTTCTGGTAAATATTGCCCAATGAAGTTTTATATTTATTATAATGATTCCCTGGTTTGCCTCTTCTCTTCTCAGCCTTGTTCTGTTTTATGTCTGCTTGAGTTGATGTCACTTTTGAAATGTCACTTCAAAAGAATCACATTTCAATATTCAGGTGTCTGGCCAAAGGAAATTTGATTAATTTTTCTACGTATTTCCCAAGAATTTAATTTATAACACTGAGTTTGGTTGAACTTGTGAGTTCCTGTGAGGCAATCACAAAAAATTGAATAAATCCAAATTTAACTGAATCTGGTAATACTAATACGTAGCTCATCTGTGTTGTGGGGTGGGTTACGGAATGTTTTACTGTAGCCAGATACATTGGGCTAGAATGTCCTCAAGCAGCTGGTTTGCAGGCAGTGTGACAGTTTATAGTTATGATATTTTGAACAAACTAACATTTGGATGAATACTTTGTAGCATTAGAATATTTATCCTGTAATAAATAGCTCAGCAAACTAATCACAAAGAATGTTTGCACTTAGGAAAGGAAGACAATTCTGGAATGCAAATAGAGCTGATTAACCAGCTTTCGTTTAAATTTGGACTTGTGATCACCTCATACCCAGTAACACTGGGTCAGGTGTAGTTGCCAGCTGTCAGTCTCAGAAAATTAACAAAAGAACAGCAGAATATAATTCCAGAAAACCCCGTGAAATCTGTACTGGATGTGAGTTCATCTCAGAATTCTGGGTTATATTCACTTGACTGTTTCTTCAGCAAACATATGAAGACTTAACATGTAACAGTCAGAGCTTGAGGCTGGATATCTATTTGTGAATAAACCAGACATAGTCTCTTTGTAGAGATTGCAGTGTAGTACATTTGCATTGTGTGGGACTCAAGGAACTTCCCACATCTCTCTTCATTCATTCTCCTAGGGGTCCCCAGGGAGGCAGACACCCCTATTGAAGGTAGGGGAATGTACTCCAGAATAAAGTTGATTAGCTTAGATACTGGCAGGCATTTTTGAGAAGTGATAGTCTAGCATTTATCTTGATATCGAACCATAATGGTGGTCTGTCTCTAGGTGCTCTGTGACAGAGTAAGTGGACAGGATGCCCATGGTTCATGGTCATGCAGTAGCCTTCTAGAATATTCTAGTTGAGTGATTTCCTAGAGTGGAGCCTATTGGAATCTCAGAGAGGTAGAGATAGTTGGGGATGGAGCAGAAGGGCAATGTGCAGGAGTTTTTAAAAAATATTTTTAGTTTCAAGACATGTTATATTTGTAAAACAAACAAGCGGATAAATAAAACTATAAGAAACAAAGCTTGGCACCATATTCTTGATTTAAGGTTACTGAGAAAACAGACTGTGATGAAGGGTTCCTCGGGGGGGGGGGGTATCAGAATGAGAGGAGACGGAACTCTAGACTTTTGTGTTAATAGGGAAAAGACATGAGTTCGAAAAGAAAAAGGAAATGAAAATTAAAAATGAACACCCCCAACAAAGGTTGATAAATATTGCCCTGGTAGTGGGTGGCCCCTGGAGAAGGATTCATTTTCTACTCACTTGAACAAGCCACTGCTCCAGTAAGTAGCCATTAGTGGTATGAGGGCTGGTAATGAACACATTACTTAAAACCTTCACCATCTGCCCCACTTTAATCAGGAATGCAGTGAGAATGAATTCCATAAACATAGTGATAAGCCAGCAAAAACGCCCAATAAGAACATTTTAATATGGCATATGTTCCTTTTGCTAGCAGTGCAATTCTGTTGCATCATATTTGTTTTCCAGTGTCATTGATTTAGCTCTATTAGAATTTTAGAGCTCAAAGGTGCTTTTGAGACCACCTAGTTCCTCATCACCATTTTATAAACGAGGACAGTGGGAGCAAGGAACGATTTCCACTGTCCTCCAGTTACCAGTTCAAAATGCTTTCCATTATGCCCCCGTCTTCTCTGGCGTCAGATAAAAATGATATACGCGGTTCCTAAATCATTTAGATGTTAACATATGGCAATTATTTAAATTGGTGTCTACTCCACTTTGATCAATAGGACGAGGGAACTCTTGAGCTCCCAAGAGGTACCGTTTTTTTGAGAAGAGTGGATTGTCCACTGGGTGGCGCTGTGAACTCCTTTCCTTTTCCAGAGGACATTCTGAGAAAAAGTGCTAGCCAGTATGGTATGATTTTCTGTGTTGTTGGAGAGGAAGCATTAAGAGCCCAAACTACATGCTGCAGCATTGGCCACTGCAGAACATTTAGTTGTCCAGTTGTCTTGTCTGCTTGAACTCTGGTTATGAAGATCCATTGAGAGTTAAGTCCTTTAGGATGTTTGTTAAACACCATTTTCCTCCCTACAAAATCAAAATATATTATCAGTGATGTGTTTCTTTAATGATCCAAGTATCCCAATAAGATTGTGAGGCATATTTGTGATCCCTCAAAAATAATTTGAACACAACTAGGTGACACAAGGGAAATTTCCATATGTGGCAGGAATGCTACAGGAAAAATCCAAAAAAGTTAATGCAAATTTTAAAAATAATAGCACATAAGATATTAAGTGTTTGGCACCTTCAAATTATAAACTGAGGTCATAATATATGTCCGAGGAGCATGTGGACCTTTCACATATAAATCTCCAATTATCTCAACATTTCAATACAGGTAGTATTATCCCAATTTCAGGGAAGTTCAAAGAGTCATGACTGAAAAAAAAAGAAACATGACTCAAACAAATATAAAATGAATATATGTCAGATGTTTTACTCAACTTATTCATTAATAAGGAACCAATAAGATGGTAAATCTGTTTTAAAGGATTTTGAGAAACTGGCTATTAAAAGGCATTTTGAAAAAAGGAATATAGAATCGGATTACTAGGTTAGACACAAGGCTGGTTAATATGCTTTGAGGCAATTAAACCATAACCTGTGGGCTTATCTTTTCTACCAGGCAGAAATCTACAAATGAACACGTGACTTCACAGAGTTGGGGCTCTAACTGAATCATAAACGATGAAGTCATAAATGCAGGGAAATTCTCCATGAGAATTGGGTCAGGTTATTAAACAATGACCCAGTGTGACATTAAAATCATATATTGTTTTGATTTCCCAGTTTTGGCTAATTTTTCCTAACAGAGATCAGGTCCAGAAAGGTTAAAGCCTTGGCAAAAATTACATAGTCACAGTGTAACTAGGTCAGTCTGTGTCCAACAAGATACTTGCATTTTTGCTCTACAACATTGCCTTGTATTTTACCCGTGTAAATATCGCAGCCGGAATGGTTTTAAACAGCATTGTAAAGTGTCAACCAATCTCTTACTGTTCAATATAAAAAAGAACACAACCATCCCAGTTTGATTTCTCATGGACTTGTTATATTCCTTTTGAGTGGAAAGAGTTTGGTTTAATAATAGCATTAAGGTATTTCTTTACATTTTTCTTTCTCAATGTCAACATTTCTCTTATATTCTAACTAGAAAGTGACTTTATCACTTGTGGCCTTGATCCTTCACTATAAATTCATTTGCTATTTTTCTACCTTCTGACAGATGCCCTGTGAGCAGGTAGGGCTATGAAGATAAGGTCAGTAGTGTCCTTGGATACCAACCACTCAGTCTCACGTAGGAGAAGCAGGTGGAACAGAGGGAGAGCCAATGCCAAGAGAGAGACGAGCTGACAGTTTGCACTCGGGATGGGCTGGAGGGGGGCAGGAGTTTGACTGAGCTGGGTACACTTCGATTATGGACTGGAAGAGAAGCAAAAAGTCTCCAGGCAAGTGAGGAGCGTAAAGACAACCTGTCTTGACCTGTCTTGACTTGGAAACCACACAGGAAAATGTCTGGCCAGGTCTCCTTGGGGTGGGTTGTAACAGTTGAAATTGACTCTGTAGCTCAAAACATATTTCTAATGGTATAAGAAGCATCTTTTGTGAACAGTTTGCAAGAATGACTTAGCAAACACACACACACACACACACACACACACAGAAATAAAATTGTATCTTATTTTCTCCTAGGAAAAGAGAACACTGCTAGAAAAAAAACTGTCTTTGGAAAACAAGCTGCTGCAACTCCAATCCAACGCTACATATGCTAAAAGGTTTGCAGATCTGCCTCCTATTAAAGCAGTTCCTGATCCCTTTCCTCTCTGCTGGTCCACTGGCCAGTGTACAGAAGGCTCCCACCTTCTAAGGAGACAGGAAGACTGAAAGTGCAGGATGAAGGGACATTGCTTAATATTAACAGCCACGTGCCCCCCCCCTCCCCCTGGGGAATCAGCAGCAGGGTTCCCTGGAGGTCCAGGGAGACTGGTGCAGGGTTAATCCTTCTGAAGAATGAAAGAGCCTGTTCCCTCCCTGTTTACCCTGGGTGCTGAAGAGGCTGCTGTTGAGGCTTTCATTCCCCCTGATGCTTCTGATTTTGTCAGTGGGTCTCTGCTATAGCCAGCATCAAGTAGGCTAGCCTACAAGCGGAATTGTAAGACTCTTTTGTGGTGCTCCCCAGCTTTGTAGAGAATGAAGGAACTACTCTGAAGGTATTCTCAGTTCTTTGGACTGACTTACAAATACTCATAATTCACCAGCTGTTACAGGGTACAGCCCTTAGTATGGGGGTGACGTGGAGCATGGATATCACCCAGCTGCTGCATTATTTCACTGCTGTTAAAAAAATCCTCTGGAACATCATGTATGTGATAACTGATTACCTATAAAATTTTCTCACACTTTTTGCCTTCCTTCCCTTCCCTTCCCTTCCCTTCCCTTCCTTCCCCCTCCCCTCCTCCTCCCTCCCTCCCCTCCCCTTTTAATTCTAAACCTGCCACTGTCGTTATATGTTCTAATATAAGGTTCAAAGTCAAGTCTATTTCAAGGTCTTATTTCACCCATCTGGAACTGTTGCTTCTTAGGATATCAGGCATTTTTATGAACCTCAGACTGTACAAAGTTTTATTCTCATTTATTCAATAATATATACTCAAAGATCTCTCTCTTTCTCTCGGTCTTTGGTTTGTTTGTTTGTTTGTTTTTTTCTCTTTCTCTTTCCTTTCCAATTAACTGTCTTTCTCTTCTCATCTTTCATAAACTTCTGCCTTCTGTCTGGCTCATATCCATGTATTGGACCACATATGCCGAAGTCCAGATCTGGGCTCACCCTGGCAATTGCACATACGTATTCAGAACATGCTGGAATACCGCTAATATTAATTTACACATATTCTTTGTGTACAGGCATAGAGCCCCAGCAGGGGACTTTCTAAGAGAGTGAAGTACAGCACTGCGCATCTTGTAGAGAATGAAGGAAATACTGTGGAAGACATCCATAGGTCTTCAGAATTACGTATACTCATAATTCTAAGTGAATCTGTGGAGTATCTTTTTTTTTTCTGCGAGAGTTTTTCCGTGTAGCAGGACTGCTGGCTGGTACTGTGTGCTTTCCATTAAGAGTTCAGACAACCTGAGTTTGATATTTTTTCTTTAAAGATGATTTTTATTGACAATAGGGTTTTTGTCAGCCTTTGAGCCCAAAGTGTAGCCATTTTGAAAACCAAACTGAGCTATTCTTTCTGTTCTATTATATATGAGCAGTTGTTATAAGGAATTCTCAGGAAGCTCTTAGGGAGGTTTTAGAAATATCTTGAGGGAAATGGATGTTTTGTGTTTCTAGAGAGGTGTTTGAACATCCAAGCTTATGCAATTTTCATAGAGTGTAGGCATCACAAATATTTATCTTCCTTATTACTTTGTCTGTGTGTAGAGGTATTCACTCTGCTAAATGACAAGAAAGTGAAATCAGTAGGTGTCAGATGCTTTTGGTTAAAGCAATAGAGACTTGGTTAAGCTACCACAAATAAGAGGATTTCTGTTAGGTGAAGATTGGATAGATATGGCCATAAAGAAGATGCATCTCTTGGGAGGACAGGAGGACCACACATCAGCACCAACTCTGTTTTTAAAAACCAGATTATTTTGTTGCTCCTATTCAGTCATGGGTGTTCTACAGCTTCATTCTTCCTCGCTCTTTGTTTTTCCTGTATGATTTATTAACTTTTCTCAGTGGTTTTCTCCAGCTGGCTTATATTCTCTGTAGTTTCCTTTCACATTGCAGAGGAAAGAGTCTGCCGGCCTAGTACTACTTCCTGCTGGGCAGATTGCTCATGTTAACCATCCCCTGTGTTGTCATCTAACCAATGGCTTTTTAAAAAAATTTTTTTTACATTTATCTATTTTTGAGAAACAGAGTGAGACAAAGCGTGAGCAGGGGAGGGGCAGAGAGAGGAGACACAGAATCCGAAGCAGGCTCCAGGCTCTGAGCAAGCGGTCAGTGTAGAGCCCGATGCAGGGCTTGAACCCACGAACTGTGAGATCATGACCTGAGCGGAAGTCGGAAGCTCAACTGACTGAGCCACCCAGGTGCCCCTAACCAATGGCCTTTTGGCAGGCACCAACTCCCAGGCCTACGGGTGGTCTTCCCTTACCCCCAAAATAGCCTGTGGTAGCTCCTCTGAGCAGGGGGGTATGGGTGATTAAATTTTCCTTAGGCAGGATGGGTTTGACGGGTGCCATGACTTTCTGCCATTTTGATGAAAAGATTCATTATGGTCTAACTTGGTATTTTTAATATTAAAAAGCATCTCAGGGTGCCTGGGTAGCTTAGTCTGTTTAGCGTCCCAATTTGGCTCGGGTTGTGATCTTGCAGTTTGTGGGTTCGAGCCCCGCGTCAAGCTATGTGCTGACAACTCAGAACCTGGAGCCTTCTTCAGATTCTGTGTCTCCCTCTCTCTCTGCCCCTCTCCCACTTAAGCTCTCTCTCTCTCTAAAATGAATAAATGTTAAAAAACTTTTTTTGATAAAAAAAAATTTTTAAAGCATCTCTAAAGAAGATGACTTTTAGGTATTTATAATTCAGGAGAAAGTGACAGTTTTTTTGTATATGGATATGAACATATAATTATAATACCTTATGCTAACCCTTACAGTTACTTTTAATGAGAGTTAAGAGATTTGGCAGAAGCATCTCATTAAAAACAAGGTTGAGTCCATATTTCTACTACCATCACTAATAAACCACCGCATGTATTATGTTTTGCTGTTGACAGATAGAATAACCCCAGGTACCTTATTTAATTTAATCCATTCTTAGCTTTTTAGGGAGAGAGCAGAGTTTCTAACTGGTGAAGCGATTACACAGCCTCTAGGGAGCTTGGGTTCTAGAATTCTTAGAGCAGTCTGTTCTCGTTTTGCTATAGAGGATATTTGACCTTCATTCATTTCTGGAGACCTCTGGAGACTTTCCCTTGGACTGGTTTCCTAATTCCCTGTGTGTCTATAAGCAGAAGACAGTTTTCCAACCTGTCCCTCTGCCTTGTGATATAACAGGTCCATTTTAGAGTTATCCTTTTGAGAAACACAGGAGCTGTACCTCAGAAAAATCCTCTACAAAAGAATAACATGATGTCAGAAAACAATTCAGTCAAAGCCATTGTAAGTTTGGAGTAGAGGGCAATGCAGTTGAATAATGTTGCCCTCTGATGGTGTAAGTTAACCCTAAGATAGGTTTTAAAGTATCCTGATGAATGGACACACTGGAGACAATTCTCCATTAATTCAATTTCCTTTGGCCAAGTGACTGGCAGACATTGGTCATCAAAGCGATTGAGGGTTTGCTTCTCGCCAAGTACTTATGCTATAATGGTCCCATATTACTAAAGGCTAAGCCATTCGTTTTTACATTTCTGCAAGTTAAAGATAGGATTGGTGCTCTGAATGCAGAGAGGATTCCCAATTCCCTTCCTCAAAAGGATAGGGCCAAGCTTTTCCTCTCTTGTAGATGGGGCATTTTTTGTCTGCTCCCATTGGCATTTCCAGGCTGCAGATTTTTTCAGCTCCGAGTCTGGGATATATGAGGCAAAAAGAAAACCCAGAGAACTCAACATTGTGTTGTTCCTTGGATTCTCAGGTCTTGAGCTGATCTGCCTTCTTCTCCACCTTCCAGAGTCGTCTCGTGTTTTTGGTTGTACTCAGTGGGAAGAGTAGGGAAAAATACACCTGCATCTTCCCAGTGTAAGTTTTTCAAAGGTATTTTAATTTCAGCGTTTACTGTATATTTATATTGAGACACTGGGAGGCAGAGCGTGAATCAGATATTTGTTAGGGCTTGGTATCCTTTTCTAGGCCTGGCCTTTGTAATGTTTTCTTCCTGCTGTTTTGCGTTAGTACCTCTTTATTAAGGTTGAGTGCTTTCACTGAAAGATAAAGAGCGGAGATTAAAGGGAGCTCAAATGGCAGCTGATTTCAGTATATTCCCACACTTAAAGACCTTAAGTGGGTGACTAGGTTTCATATTTATTGGACAATCCTAAGTTAAGAGAATTTCTCCGATTTATATTAGTCCCTGTTCTATGTATTAATACAGATAAGCCTGAAATGAAAGCCCTGTGTTTTCAAGAATGCTGCTAGAAATATTTTCTTCCACCTTGAGACCTCTTTCAGATTTTTATTTATCTACAGTGACTTCTATGGTAACGCCGTCGTGGAATAGGTGGAGAAATTTCCTGAGCTTCATATTTTGAGGAGCGTAAGTTCCACCCCGCCCCATCTTCTAAAACCATCGTTTTTTCCCCTTTGGTCTGAGTTCTGGGTCATCGAAAGACACAATGAGACCATTTTGAATACTGGTCTTCAATATTTTTACAAGTTTATATTTTATTTTTTAATTTTCTTATGGGTTTGTGAACAGTTTATAAATTTTCAAAGCCAGCCTGCCTCTGTAAGGAATCCTGAGTTCTTTCTCGCTATTTCCCAGGAAGTCCTGAGTGACTCCTCCTTCCTTCTTCTTCTCTCTGTTTTGCCTCTTCACCAGAGCGGTTTTGAGTCTTAGCACCAGCTGTTGGGCAGACTTTTGTCTGCCTTCTCTGCCCCATATGTCCTGAACTCCTCTTTTTTAGGAGTTTAGGCAGTGCCTCTTCAAGTCCCTTTCTAATTTTTCTACTGGGGTATCTGTCTTGTTTATGGGTAGATGTGGTCCTTATAGATCCTGAGTACAGTGCCTTTATTGGTCATTTCAGTTCAATATTCTGAGGCTATCCTCTACCCTCTCATTTGATGATTAGAAGATTTTCATTTTCGTCTAGTCAAAATTAACTTTGTGGCTAATACTGTCTTGAGTGCTATTTTAAAAAACCTTTGCCTATTGCAGATTCATGAAGGTGTTCTTCTATATTATATTCTAAAGGTCTTTGGGGTCTCCAGCTTATTTACAATCTACATGGAATTTATTTTTCTTATGAGGTGAGGTCGGGATTAATTTTCTTTTTTTATTTTTTAATATGAATGTAGAGTTGTCTCAGAACAACTGAAGTTGTCTCTTCATTTGTTGAAAAGACCATCCTTTTTATAAAATTCTGCAGAATCATCTTTGATATAAGTCAACTCTATTGGCCTATCTCTGTAACATATATGTATATGTGAAATAAAAATGGCATGGATCTAGCATAATTTGTTTTATTAGTCTTCTATTGATGAACATTTAGCATTCCAATTTTTATGCTGTGAACAATAATGAACTACATTTTACATATATTTTGTGTAATTGCATGGTATTTTTATAGCATATATTATTTAATTCCATAGGATAAGTAAAGAGTAACGGCTAACATTATATAATATTGGTACTTATGCAAGAACTTCTGTAGTTTTATAGAAATTAATTTTTTCTATAGTGAAACAAACTATTTTTAAAGCTCTCTCATGCAAAACCAAAACAGGGGAACAATTAAAAGACTGTCTTAAATATTACAAGTTGCCTGCAAGTTACTTGGCTTTGAGAGAGTATATTATACAGTAGGAGATATCGAGCCAACCTCAGTGGTTCATGGGCAGGCAGACTCATTGGCAACAACCTGGAGCCTATTGAAAAAGCAGAATCCCAAGCCCGACCCCAGCCTGCTGGATCAGATGTGCATTTTAACAAGATTCCCTCATGATTTAACAAGATCCTCCAATGCATATTAAGTTTGAGAAGCAATGTTTTAGTACATGATGTGAAACAAAATGAAACTCTCTTTTTTTTTCAAATGAGAATATGTTCTGTAGTGTCACATGAATGTCCATGACCTTTGCAATGTTTGTAGAGGCTATAAAAATCAGAATTGCAATTTCATTGGTGGTGGCTACTAACTATAAACCTTAATAGCTACAAAAATTAATATACTACTGTGTAAAAGCTTATTTTCCCAAAGCATATTCACTAACCTCTTTAAGTATATTCCTGTAAAGTAATGAAAGTAGGGATTATTCCGTCTGCTATGTGACTGTCACAATGCTTCCAAGCTTGGTGACCTGGCCACAATGCATGCTGCCTCAAAACTAAAATAATATTGGCAAGAAGAAAATATTGGCAAGTCAAAAGCTGTATAAACAGTTACCTAAATGGAGTTTTGGAAAAGTATGAATAATCTAAATTCAAACATCATCCATCTTTTTTTCACAATGGTTGATGTAGACTCAAAATATTAGCTGGAATTTAATTTCCTTTTTTTATGCTCTATTTATAGGTGGTAGAATACCCAAAGTAGGAAGCCGAAATAATAATAGTAATAATGATGATGATAATAATAAAAGACAAACACAGTCAATCCACAACACACACCAACTGTGTATCATTAGAAATTGGTTTCTCATTGTATATAAAGTCTGCATTCCTGGCCCCCCATATTCTAGCCCTGCTATCCTTACATAATTATCTGTGCATCCCACTGAGTTCTAGATCTGTGGGTGCTCATAGGCACGACAGGTTAGATATGTGAGTGCTTCATCTGGCTCAATACAGGTTGACTCAACTACCTCCTGGAGGGAGGGAAGTCACAGATGGCCAGGAGGGAGTTGTTGACATGAATGGATATTCTCATTCAAGTTCGTGTCTGAGCTCATCAGAGACCGCTTTGTGGCTGTTTATCTTCAGTGTCTTGTGTGGCATATGGGGCCCCCAGCGTCTTTCTCCGCGATGCCCAGTAACAGGGTCATGTGTGAGGACAGCCTGGCAGCTTAGCTGTAAAAATGAGCTACTCCGTGCTTCAGCAAATCTCTTTCTTTTTCCTTTTGCGTTTCCAGTTGCCACGATCTTCAAATGGAAATTGCCCTTCTGCAGGAGCAGACCTCTCATCTACAGTTTGTGATTCATTCCCAACATCAGAACCTGCGCAGCGTCATCCAGGAGGTCAGATTAATCAAGTGTGTTTCTCTGGTAGATGGGATGTTTACAGTGCGAAGGCCGAATACAGGCAGCTTGTCTGGACCTTACAAGCAGTGAGATTCTTCTCCCCGCTGACATTTCCTTTTTATTCCCAGGCAGCATGACTCTGTGTTCAATGCCTTCTTTTGTCTCTATGTCAACACCTGTAGCGTTCTCAATGAAGATATTTGGGAAATTGTGTTTAACTGCTCTTTAGTTGTTTCCATGATTTTTTAAAAGGGGTTCTGAGCCAGAGAATGTACACTGTTTTTTTAGACGATTTTGGAGGTTAGAAGCTTCAGCCCTTTCTGAGGACACGATGATCTGTTTTTATAACCTCATAAACAGCAAATTTACTTAGTAGGTGTGTGGGGACAGGGGTGTAGCCTGGCCGTTCTTCTCTGGAAACGTCCTGGCAGGTGAAAGAGAAGAGGTAATTGCGGTAGCAGCCAGATGGATGGTGGATTGTGTACGCATCCAGTTTATTTCAAGATATCTATTGATCTGGTTTGAGGGCTCTGCTTTAGACTTAAAATTAGACCTTCCATCATTTTTTACTACCTAATATTTGTTTCCAAAAGGAATCCTTCCAAATACCTCTCATACCACCCTGACACAAATAAAACAGTTGGCTAGGACCTCACCAAAAGCGCAGAGAATTGAGTCATGGCACTTGAGAGCCCGGAGGGACTTAGAGGGTATCCCAGATTCTCATTTTCCAGATGAGAAAACTGAGGCTCAGAGTAGTTCAGTGACAGAAATGACAGTGGCGGAATCGGCCTTAGAACCCCTGGGTTTCTTCTCTTCCCGCTCTGTTCTGGTCTTCATACCCCACCTCCCCAGTTCCTCATTGTTTCTTGGCAGATGCTTTTCTTCCCAAGCAAAGCAGGCTCAGCTCATGATGCCGCAGGCTGACCAGATCTCTGCCTCGGGGAGCTTCCCTGTGCCAGGCAGTGGCCTTGTGTGACGGCCACCCACCTCTGTACCCTCAGTAGGAAAACGTTATGCGGTGGAGACAGTGATGGCCAAAGCTGCTTCCCACAGGATGTGTGCCCGCTGGATTCGGTTTAAACAGGTTTTCCAAAGATGACAGTGTTTAATAGGACTGCCCACGTGCTCTCCTCCCCAGGTGCCAATGTGCCCTGCTATTTCCTGCAACCTGCTGAGCCCGCTAATGCTTTGGGATTTAATTTTTTAACTTGATGGGCGCCAGTTGACCCTAAAAACCTGTGCAATTTCTGACTTAAGTAACTTCCCTGTTGTCTGACGAGATTCTTCCAATTGTGTTTCCTAATTCTTAGATGGAAGGATTAAAAACTAATTTGAAAGAACAAGATAAAAGGATTGAAAATCTGAAAGAAAAAGTTAACATACTTGAAGCCCAGGTAAGGAGGGAATGTGATGTATATTTCAGTATGATTGATTGCGGGTGAGTGTGTGTGTGGGTTCTCGGTGTATCCATGAGCCTGTGTGTGGATGTGTTGTGTGTGCTCGTGTGCCACTGTGACACAGTGAGTCTGTGTGTGCATGGGTGTGTGTGTCATTGTGCCTGAGTATCTCTGTGTGAGTGTACTTGTGTCTGTGTGTATATATGAGCGTCTTTTTGTGAGTGTGGGTAGATGTGTGTCTTCTATGCATAAGAAATTATAGATTTGTGGGAGAGGTACTCTTAATAACATTAAAGTATTAAACCTTATTTTATAACATTAAATACTATTAAGTAACTGTGGAAAGCTCACCCAAATATTCCAGAATGCTTGCTATATTGGGGAGATACAAAATAACATGTGGACGTGAATTAGAAGCCTGGTCAAGACCACCTTGTGTGAATTCAGACCCAGCCAGGTAGCTGGCTTTGCTGTCTTATATCTTTGTCTCTTTCCTGCCCTGAGATGTCCTTTCTTCTCCTCTTTTTTTTTTTTTTTTTTAATTTTTTAATGTTTACTTTTGAGAGAGAGAAACAGAGTGTGAGCAGGCAATGGGCAGAGAGAGGGAGACGCAGAATCCAAAGCGGGCTCCAGGCCGTCAGAGCAAAGCCTGATGTGGGGCTCGAACTCACAAACCACAGGATCTTGACCTGAGCCAACGTCGGACACTTAGCCGACTGAGCCACCCAGGTGCTCCTCTCTTTCCTCCTCATTTATCTTTCACATCGATCGCGGCTTCCGCCCTTTGCATCAGGGCTCACCCACTTCAAGAAGCCTGTTGTAATTTTCTTATTTTTCAGTGTTTTGAAATCTGAAGCCTAGCATAACGCTTCATAATTTACCATCAGAAACGTGCTTTTCTTCCCGCCCGCTCATCTCCACTTCACTAGGGAGGCCCTTTATAGACTTTCGGCTACAGACCCAGGCTCGGCTGTGCCCCACCTCCCAGCAAGTGCAGCAAAGCCCACACAGGGGTGGCTGGAGTGCCCAAGATGCCACAGCTGCATCCACCTGGGCTCTCGCTGGTGCACAGGGCCACCGCTTCCTTCTCTGTCAGAGACTCATCATTCGCCGCCTGGATGGGTCAGCTTTTCTACTTCATTCTTCCGTGTTTCGACTTCCTGCCATGCACTCCTGTCCCGAGGAATACAGAGATGCTCTGACTTCCACTAGATTTCTCCTCCTCTCTGGGGGCTTTTTCCCCCCCCACAGGGTAGCCCAGGGAGGAGCCGCACCACCATACTCCCAGCACACTGCCACACCGTTTCTCGCACACCGTGTTCTTTCTGCTTTCCCCAAACTTATCATAATAACGTGAAGAGGCCGTAAATATGTTTACATCTTAACTTTTGTAACCATTGCCGTGTTTTGCCATGTCGACCTTCCCAGAGGACCACTGTTCTCTCTGTCCTGGTGGTTGGGGCCTCGAAGCCTTGGGCTTTTCTTAGATTTTCACCTTCTTTAGGTTACACGTGACTGGTTGATAAAAATACTTGCATCTCTGTGCAGCTGAAAATGCAACGATTTTTCTGGAATAATTGGCTGAAAACTGGTTTCCCCTCCAGTGCCCAGTAACGGCTGGTCAGTCTCAAGGGGCCTCAGATGATGGGGTTCATATCCCTTTGAGCCTCTTCCTCCCAAGAAAGGTATCTAAGGGTATTTCCTCACAGCTTTGTGTACTTTTGGCAAACATTTTGGCAAATGTTACCTGAGAGAATATTTTTTCTTTTCTTTTATGATTTGTATGTAACTAATATATAGTCATTCGTTTCTATATAAATTAAGAAATATGGATAGCCAAATATAATAAGAAAATTATGCAAACCTGCCATCCATGAGTCAGCACAGTTGTGTATATCTGTTTTTCTATGGGACTCTTATGTGGCTGGTACATATGTGTGCATAGGTATTAAACATATAGACTATGGCATAATGTCTATATCACTGTATTTTTATTTATTTAATTTATTTAATTTTAAATGTTTATTTCTTTTCGAGAGAGAGAGAGGTAGACAGGGAGGGGTGGGGAGAGACGGGGACAGAGGATCCGAAGCAGGCTCTGTGCTGACAGCAGAGAGCCTGATGCAGGGCTCCAACTCATCAACTGTGAGATCATGATCCGAGCTGAAGTCGTACACGTAACCAACTGAGCCACCCAGGAGCCCCTATTTCATTGTATTTTTAAGCTTTTATTCATTTCACTCATTTGCTCACATCATCAATCTTGTAGTTAATTCTGTAAGTACCTATTGAGTGGCTACTATGATGTAGATGCTAAGGCAGGGAAAACAATATTGAATAAAATAGACATAAGTGAGCCCTGCACTCTGGACTTTACTGCCTAGAGAGGGAGACAGACACATAAATGAACACGTAACTTGCAATATTTTGGAAGCATTCTGCCAGAAAAGAACAAGATATTCTGAGAGAGAACACCTGGATAGAAGATTTAGATTGGTGGGTGGGAGCAAGCTCTCTAAGAAAATGAGTTTTAATCTGAGCTTAGTGGAAAACTGGGTGGTAGGGCAGGTCAGGCAGAAGGACAGGGAGCCATTGTGATTGCTTCTAATCCTAGAGTGGTATGTAATAGCATGGAATGACATTGGAAAAGTAGGAAGAGACCATGCCAAGGAGTCTTTTTCTCTATATAGCAATATATCAAGAAGTCTATGCTTACCAAACAGATTTCATTTGTATTATCTTTTTTTTTTTTAATTTTTTTTTCAACATTTATTTATTTTTGGGACAGAGACAGAGCATGAACGGGCGAGGGGCAGAGAGAGAGGGAGACACTGAATCGGAAACAGGCTCCAGGCTCTGAGCCATCAGCCCAGAGCCCGATGCGGGGCTCGAACTCACGGACCGCGAGATCGTGACCTGGCTGAAGTCAGACGCTTAACCGACTGCACCACCCAGGCACCCCTGTATTATCTTTAAATGGCCACTATATTGATCTACAATAATTTAATTAACTCACTCCTTTTTGTTGGACCTTAGATTGTTTTTCAGTATTACAATTGTGGGGTTTTTGTTGTTGTTTTGAATTTTTTTAATGTTTATTTATTTTTGAGAGAGAGAGAGCATGAGCAGGGAGGGGCAGAGAGAGAGGGAGACACAGAATCTGAAGCAGTCTCCAGGTTCCAAACTGTCAGCACAGAGCCCGATGTGGGGCTTGAACTCATGAACTGTGAAATCATGACCTGAGCAGAAGTCGGACGCTTAACCAACGGAGCCACCCAGGCACCCCTCAGTATTGCTTTTGTAAACAACACTGAATTCAACATCTTTATACAAAGATCACTAATCATTTATATATTTACTTCCTTCCTTAAGATAAATTTTTAGAAGTGGAATTGGTAACTCAGAGTATATCCATTTTTAAGGTTTTTGATAATGTGTTCTCGGACTTCTAGGTTTCTGCAGGATCAGTCATCTCCCTCAGTGGCCACAGGCCCACCTGCAGCTGCCTCTGCTCTGGCAGTCAACAGTCCTTCAGTCCTCATATTTCCAATCTGCTGATAGTCTTTTTCCCCCCTCTCTATTACTAAGGGATTTTAATACATAAAAATCATTTGTTATTATTTTAATAAAATATAAGAAGGGGGAGATGATAAACACATGTTCTCAGATTCCCATTTTGGACTGGGAATCTCATTTAAATCCAAGTTTACATGTAATTCATGAAGTTTGGTGTGAGGTAGGGATCTAACTTTTTAGTTGTCTCACTTTACCGAGAAGTCTGGGCTTTTTTCATGCATTTGAAATGCCTTTTATCCTAAACTGAACTTTCATGTTGGAAATCTGTTCCAATGGTGTATCTGCCTGTTTTGGCTCCAGTGTCCTCTTGCTTTACTCACTGCACTTTGGTAATACATTTTAATTGGAGAGATTACCTGTCTCTGGGCTTTCACTGCATTGTGGTTCTGGGTTCTGGGTCAGACATAATGAAGTGCCAGCTGTCATCACAGGATCAAGGTATCAATGGTACTACCAGAACAATGTATTTGTTTCCAGTGTACTCTGTTTCTATTTTCTCAAAAATTCAGCAAATAATTGCTGATTAGCCACTTGGTATGATATGAGAAAGCAACAGATTTGTTCCCCTCATGGAAACTTCTTGGTTGGCCACAGACTCTTTGCAGTGATATGAAAGCACCTCTCAATACTGTCTCAGATTCTCTGTAGATAGCTTGATTCAAGCCACTATATATTAATGTTTTCTTTTACAAAAAGGCTTCAAACTATGGCACTATTGGATGAATGTCTTTATATATTCTCAAAATTTATTATCTTCTGTAGATAAATCTTTTCCTTCACAGCAAGGAATTTTACAGTAACCACTTCAGCTTTATAAAGTCCAAACCACATGAATTTAATTTATCCATCAAATAGTTATGTGTCTTTATGATGTACCAGGAAATGTTTCAAATGTTGAGTATATGGGTAATGCACAGAACAGACTGTCCCTGACCTCATCTAGCTTATACTTTATTTGAAAATACAGATAATCGGGGCGCCTGGGTGGCTCAGTCAGTTGAGCGGCCGACTTCGGCTCAGGTCACGATCTCGCGGTCCGTGAGTTCGAGCCCCGCGTCGGGCTCTGTGCTGACAGCTTGGAGCCTGGAGCCTGTTTCAGATTCTGTGTCTCCCTCTCTCTGACCCTCCCCAATTCGTGCTCTGTCTCTCTCTGTCTCAAAAATAAATAAACGTTAAAAAAATACAGATAATAACACACAAACAAGTAAATAAACAATTGGGGAGAATAAGTGTTCTGAAAAGTGTAGAATATGACAATATGTTAGAGAGTGATGGGAATCAGGAAAAGCATCTCTGGACCTGTGATATTTGACCACGTACTTGAATTTAGTGAGTGCTTGAGCCATGGTTACCCTATTTCTGGTCTGGTCCTAGTCAGTGATTATTATGAAGTTCTTAACTGGGATGATATATGCAGGGGTAGGCTGGCATTCACTGCAAATTTAAGACCGCTGCCTATTTTAGAATCCATTATATAACAGGATGAATTGATTCCATTTATAAAAAGTGGTCTTGAGCTTGAACAACCTGTGTAAGCACATCACCAGTCTAAACCACACAGACAGCATACTTTTCTCATCCATACCAGAAGCATCCATCTCTTTTTAGGCATGCTTACATGCTTCATTTTATTTAATCCTCAAAACTACTCTGGGAGAAAGTTATTACTACATTTCATAACTGATTAAACTGAGATTCAGAGAAGTTAAGAAACTCGTTCAACATCACTTTGCTGCATTGGAGTCTTCTTGCCTTGGAAGCACCTGCTCCCCTCCCCCCATCACCACCACAAAATCTGTTTATCTGAGTGATTAAATTAAGTGTGTGCTCAGGGGGTGTGTATGTGCATGTGCTTATATTAATGTGTGAAATATATGTGTGTACATACATTATGTGTTTAGAAATGAAGTCATTAAATTTGCCAGACCTTTTACATTTATTTTAGTCATGGTCACATTTCCTATATTAAAATGATTTCCATTTTCCAGTTTTTTGAGTCATGGTAACAAATACTTTTTTTGGTAACAAATACTTTTTTCTGTGACATTCTTTCTGTTCTAGCAGGGTATTTTTCCCCCCTCTCTGCAAGGGAGATATATACACTCATATAACTCTATTCTTTAAAAAAACAATCTTTGGGGTGTCTGAGTGGCTCAGTAAGTTAAGCATCAGACTCTTGATTTCGGCTCAGGTCATGATCTCATGGTTCATGGGATTGTGCCCCTTATCGGGCTCTGTGCTTAAAGGACAGAGCCTACATGGGATTCTCTCTCTCCCTCTCTCTCTCTCTGCTCCTTTCTGCTTGCGCTCTCTCTCTCTCTCTCTGTCTCTCTCTCAAAATAAATAAATAAATATTAAAAAGCTTTAAGGTTTAAAAAAATTTTTTTAATATCACTGGAAAATTTCCTGCTTAACTCTAAAAAAATATGTTTCTTTCTACTTTTGTATGATATCTTTATCATCTTAATCTTCAGCTCTGACATTCCTCTCACATTTCATGCATTTCATGCATTTTTAGCTTCCTCACTAATGACCTGCTGATAGGGAAATGTGTCTTCAGAAATTATACCATTTTCTAAACATTGAAGATTATCTTATTTTATATAGCCATCATCATCCCTAACATTTAATTTAACAAGAATGTGTTGGTAGAAAGTATGCAAAAAATTAGGCTCTCTTGTAAAATCATGTCAATAAACTATCCTTGGATAGAGTCATAAAAAAGCAGACATATTCTGGTCATTGATTTGTAGTTTTGTAAAGTAACGATGTAATAAAACTTGTGGATATGGCTGTTCTAATTAAAGGAAAAACTATGAAAGCCCATGAATCAAAAATAAGTATCTAAATCTAGCCAATGAAATAAATCAGCATGGAAGTTGAGATAAATGAAAATAAAGACAGTCTAATATGATAACTCCTATGCTTTTGCACTGTTTGGTACTCAGCAACTTGAGAAACTAGGAATTCGTTTTGGACAAAATCCCAGTAGCCTCTACGTAATTGTCCAGCCTGGATTATTTTAGTATTTGTTCTCATCATGATGTGATTTGAATTGCTTCCTAACTTGCAGAGTATTGTATACAGAGGAGTTTTTCTCAGCAACATACTTGGTCAATAATATGTGCCTACACTTGTTTGGAGTGTATATTAGCTTTACCTCCATTATACAAGGAACATCTTTATTGTCAGTTTATTAAATCTGAAGTACATTTCCTACATGAGACTTTAGTTAAGTGCTTGACTCTTGAAACGTCACAGTGAATGATCAATGTGTGTGAAGACTTTTGTTCCATTTTTTAGTTATTATGCAGTACAGATGCTGAGGGATATGAAGGGGCAAAATCCACATCTTGTCTCAGCTTTCCTTACTTCAATGGTTCTTCATCTTTTTTAAAAATTATTTTAAATTTTATTGAAATCCAAGTTAGTTAACATGTAGCATAATAATGATTTCGGGAGAATTTAGTGATTCATCACTTACATATAACACCCAGTGCTCATATCAACAAGCGCCCTCCTTAATGCCCATCCCCCATCTAACCCATCCCCCCACCTACCACTCCTCCAGCAACCCTCCGTTTGTTCTCTGTATAAGAGTTTCTTATGGTTTGCCTCCCTCTATGTTTTTATCTTAGTTTCTTCATCTTAGCAGCACATTAGAATTACCTATGGAGTCTTGAAAAGTCTTGAACCCAGACTGCAACAAAGTTAAACAGAATCTCTCGGATGAGACTCTAGATTCATTAGTTTTTAAATCTCTCCAGATAATTCCAATATACAACCAACACTGAAAACCAGCACTTTAGTTCAGTGGTTCTCAAACTTGAACAGACGTCAGAGTCATCTTAAAACACATAAACACTTAAAACTTTAAGAAGTGAGCTTCTTAAAACACATTCCTTGGCTACCCTGGGTTTCTCAATAGGTCTTATTGGAGATTGAGGGTATGTAGTTCTAGTAAGTTCTCAGGTGACGCTGATATTGCTGATATCCCAAGATCACACTTTAAGAACCTTTTTCTCCCTTCTTTTCCACCTAGGCCATTTCATTTTGTCTTCAATGTCCAGCTGAAATCTCCTTGTGTATGAAAATATCATAAATTATTCTGCTCACTGATTTCTTTTTTTTTTTTTAATTTTTTTTTTCAACGTTTATTTATTTTTGGGACAGAGAGAGACAGAGCATGAATGGGGGAGGGGCAGAGAGAGAGGGAGACACAGAATCGGAAACAGGCTCCAGGCTCTGAGCCATCAGCCCAGAGCCCGACGCGGGGCTCGAACTCACGGACCACGAGATCGTGACCTGGCTGAAGTCGGACGCTTAACCGACTGCGCCACCCAGGCGCCCCACTGCTCACTGATTTCTGTTATACCTTTTACATAGTGATTACCTACTGCCTCTGGAATCTCCTGAACTTTTTATTTCTCATTTTTTAATGTTTACATGTTTGTTTTATCACTTCCACCATGCTGTGTATACTGTATACTGGAAAGGAAGATCCATGCTTTCTTGTGCGTCTTCACATTCCCTCTGCCCATGGGTTGGTGCTATAGACATGGCAGAAACTAATTGGATAGATGGATGAATAGGTGGATGGATGCAGATTAATTATTGATTAATTTCCTGACAGTTTCCTTTCTTCTGTTTCATGTTTATCAGACCTGAAATCCCTTCAGAAATCATTGAATCTCTGTGTCTCCTGGGGCTCACCATTTACTTATTTGTAATATAAGGAGGCTGAGCTAATTCTTCTGGTTACAGAAAAAGAACACCTTTCAGGGAAAAGAGCATAGGATTTGGAGTCACACAGGACTGCATAAAGCTTGCACATTTGAACAGAGTCCTGCATATACAATGTGTGGGTTATCAGAAACAAGTTACCTAAACAATTTGAGTTTTGCCAGCCTTATTTCTTTAATATGCATAAGAATAAAAGTTATCAAAGAATAGATATATGGAAAGCACCTGGAAAAAGTCTTGACATTTGCTAGGCATGCATAACTATTAAACCTCTGGCTTCCATGAAAATTCTAACATGTTTCCCCAAAACATGCATTTTCGTGTTGGCTTGCTCCAAACCATCTGGTGGACTTTTAGGAAATACCTTTTAAACTTCAATTATATGACACTTTAGCTTCTTAATTTCCTAATAGGTATTGGAGCTGGTGTATTACTGTTCTTTTAAAGCTATAGCACCCCCTGTCAACCTCCCACCGAGCCACCCTTCAGTCCCAGACCCTACTATACTGGTGTATCCTTTAAACACCTCTGGCTTGCCAGTGCAGCCAACTGACAACTGTGAGCATGATGCTTTGCTGTTTTAAGTCTCATTTTCCAGATCTGTTGAATGAATGTGCTTGGTGTGACTATGCTGTAGAGGAGACAGTGGCACTGCAGCAGAAGGACATGACTTTGAACCCTGGTTCTGCCAGGAACAAGACGTTGGGCACTTAAGCTCTTAGGACCTCAGTTTTTAGTTATAAAAATGGTACTTGGACTAGAAAATCTTAAGTCTTAAGAATCTGTGCCAGACACTGGGCACAGTACATATTGAATATCTCATTTCAGAACTTGCGAAGAAAAAAACGATGATTCCACTTTACAGATGAGGACATTGGGCTCAGAGAGGTTAGGCAAACTAAGGTCACAAAGCTATCAAGTGGCTGTGCTAGGATTTGTACCTGAGAAATGAAACTGTTGCCTTCCTTATTATCAGCCATTGCATTATCTCCCAGAATTATAAGAGATTTAAAATATTATGATCATATGAGATTTTTCTTCCAACGACTTCAACATGGTAGGCAAGACATGTATTATTTACCACTAGTATAGAGATCAAGAAACGGAGGCTTCAGTGAGAAAATTGAGGCTAAAAATGCCATGAACTATATGGTAAAGAACAGATGGTGCTTATTTTCATGGAGTTTATAATCAAGAGATTGCACAAGAAAGACAAACATGTAATAAATATTGTGGGTGTCTTTAACAAGGTTCTTTAATAAAGTTATTTTGTGAAGTTCTTTGCAACTCTTTCTACATAAAAGAAACTGTAAAATCAAACATAGTTCAGCTGTTGAATTTCAGAGGCTAATGTAGAATACTCTATTTTAGTCCCTTGGAAAAGTATGCACTCTTCAAGATGTTTTTGTAATTTCAGAGATAATAGTGACTCTCAACTGGCTACATTCTGTGTTTTAATAGAGTGACTGAAACAACAAGCTTACTGCCAAGGAGTGATGTAGGTGGTGGGTTGATCAGAAGTATTAAGCATGTGGCTAATCAATGTGCTACCTATGTAATGTGTTTTTTTTTTTTTTTTTTCACTTTAGAATAAAGAACTAAAAACCAAGGTGGCACTTTGGTCTGAAACTCCTAGAACAACAGTATCCAAGGGTGTCTCTACAAGGTAAGTTTTTTCTTCCCCCACTGCCATCTGCCTTCACAGCTTTGTTGAACATTCATTCATGAATGTTGGCATCTATCCCACTTGAGAAATATTCCAATCTATTAATACTTATGTAATCACTTGTTTACTGTCTGTTTCCCAGTTCTTGAGAACTGGACCTGTGTTATTTGTTCAGCATTGAATCCTCAAAGCCTAACATATAAATACTTACTGAATAAATGAATGAATAAATTTAGATATCTTTTCTTGCTTTGTGCCATAAAACAAGCCAGGTATCTGCTTCAACTCTTTCTACAAGCAGTGCACATCATCTTCCTTATTGTCCTTGTTTTTCTGTTACTCCTGTTTTCTGTAGCATTGATGAACACTTTAATTATAAATTGTATTTATTTAAATGTCCATGACTGTATCTCAAACCAGGTAGATTGTAAATGTCAAGAAGGCAGGAATGGTTCCTTGTATTTCACTTTATTTCCTGCATTGCTAAGGGCAAGAGTCTTCAATAACTACCTAATAATAACTGAATCAAGCAATGATAATGACACACTACAGCAATCAAAACGATAGTTGAAACCATCAAAGTCACTTTCTAATGGTGACAGAATCTGAAGTGACAAGTTGTAAAAAAAGAAAAAAAAAAGACTTCTGGGCTCAAATCTTATTTCCATAATACTCTATGAAATTATCACTTAAAAGAAAACATAGTCTGTAATTACATGAATCATTTAAAAAGTGATTAAAAACTTCCTGTTCTAGCAGCTTTTGAATTTCCCAGTCTAATCCCTCTAGGGCAGAAGCCTGTTTTCTGAAACTCTCTTCTGTTCAGTGCCTGAGGTAGAAAATCAGGCCCTCTGTGATGAGTATCAGTCCAAGAATTCAGGTGGGTCCATCTCCCTTGGCAGAACTCCCTGCAGCCTTGCTTCCCTTTGCTAATGATATATGTAATGAGAGATGAGATGAAGCCATTCTGAATAGATTCTTCTAAAATTGTCAGTCCCCCTGATGCAAAGTTATCCACTTTTTGGCCAGTAGCCCTGAAACTTCCAATAAAGAAAAGAAATTAAGCCCCAGAAATATTACAGGAGGAAGTGAAATACCCACATTTCAGAAGCAGTGAGAGAAGTAGTCACTTCAGTGGGGGAAGAAATGAGTCCAGAACAGAAGAGCAAGCATGACTTTCCAAGGAAAAGGAAGACAATTGATTTTTTTATTCCCTTACCAGATACCAGTCCCCTTGGGGTGGTGAGGCATCAGCTGTTTTGACCCCGTAGGGAACGCAGCCAGAGTGGAGTGAAGGAGAGATCAACTGCTTGTCTATTGTAACTACTCCAGTATTGAATGCAGAGACTCTAGCCCGTACAGAGGGAATGTGCTGGAAAGAATGACTTCTATGGCCAACTCTTTAGTTGTAGTAAATTCACTGTTAAACATCTTTTAGTTTTAAAGATTTCTTTTCTTTCTATGACTTGGTAGGTCTCATGTTTACAAAATGAAATATGGCCAATTGGCTGCTTTGAGAACGTAAGTGGTAGTATGATGTGGTAATTCTGGGTTCACCCATATGCAGTGGAATTATAACTCAAGGGAGAGATTGGAGTAGAAAAGTAGCTGTTCAGGGGGAAAATCATATGCATTTAAAAATTAATCCAGGGGCGCCTGGGTGGCACAGTCGGTTAAGCGGCCGACTTCAGCCGGGTCACGATCTCGCGGTCCGTGAGTTCGAGCCCCGCGTCAGGCTCTGGGCGGATGGCTCAGAGCCTGGAGCCTGTTTCCGATTCTGTGTCTCCCTCTCTCTCTGCCCCTCCCCCGTTCATGCTCTGTCTCTCTCTGTCCCAAAAAAAATAAATAAACGTTAAAAAAAAAAATTAAAAAAAAAATTAATCCAGGCAAATCTCTTTAATTACCTACAAAATATAATTCTGTATCTCTCAGTAAATACTAAAAAGCAAGGTGGTGTCTTTGAGCATTAAAACATATAGATGTTAACACCAGAAAGGGTGTTTGCTGGAGATTCAGGGTCATGTTCTTAGACAAAAACAGCAACAACAAAATGCACATACAAACGTGTGTGTGTGTGTATACACACATATATACATACATATATATTGTAAATACTGGAATCACACAGTGAGGGGAGAAGTTCAGACTTGAGAAGGCCACAGGACTCAAACATCCTGGCAGGAGGGTTGATGCGTGTTTCCTGTCTCCAGGTCACTCCAATGCATGCCTTCACTGCATGGAATGGCAGATATAGTCTCTAATTCTCTCTCACTTCCCCTCTTCCTCACTCTTGTCCCTCTACAACTAGCTGAATTTACATAAGTTAGATGCTTCCACAGTATGATTCTATCATGTCTCATGGGGAATTAGTCAACGAATTAACCACCAGATCTCTTAGATTAAAGCAATTAGTTCATATTTGGTCGTATAGCGGTGGTGGAGATGGAAATGGTGGTGATACACCAATTATATCACTAAAGTTTAATGTGCTCTCTATCAATAATTATTTGATCTTTTCTATAGTGAATTGAAGACTGAAGGCACTACGCCCTATCTGATGTTGATCAGGCTCCAGAAATGAGCTGACTAGCTGAAGATCTCAATAAGAAAGATCACTATGTGGGTCTTATTTATTCCTTGAAACACAGACTAAATGTGCAAGTTAAAATGGCTCACTGGCAGTATTCAGTGGGATTTATTATACGTCAATGGCTCTGCAGGAAGAGGACACTCCAGAAAATCAAACAAATGTATATTCAAGGCAAGGAACTCTTCCTTCAAAACTTAGTGAATGGGTGAAGAGACCTGGGGCATTTGATGGAAGATGAATTTTGCTTTAAACTTCAAAAAGAATCTGAATATTTTTTGCAGATTTTTGCTGAAGGGAGTGGTTTAAGGTTGTCAACTATAACCTTCTGATAGTGGTTTTTATGTATATAAATGGAAGAGTGTATGTACATGTGTGTGAATAAATGATATATTTTAAAGTTAACTTTGAATAACAAGAAATATCCTAACATGAATTTATAAATTCATCTCCTGACCTATCGTTAGTAAGAGAGTTATTCTCTATGGCATTATGGGCAGGAGAAGTAGGTTCTTTTTAGCTAATTCCCCAATCTATGCAGCCCTCCATTGCTAAGCATCACGGCATTTTACCGCACCTCTGGAAGCCATTGTTCTTCAGCTGGGACTGAGAATTGGTTGCGAGAGATAACCCACAAGTAAGCATGAAGAAATGCAGTTTGTGACTCTGACCTGGTGCCTAATTTTCTTTATAAGATTCATTGTATTAGCTAAGAAAATATTTGGGGGAAAGAATAGGAACACAATGCCGTCAGCTCACACCTTCACAAAAATACGTGTATTGTGGGTTAAGAGGAAGAGTGGCTACTGTCTATAGCTGGGAAGATTCTCCATCCATCGTATGTCCAGTGCCTTGGTGAAAGTGTGCTTGCATTTTGATACAGGCATTCATCACAGGTGAGTTTGTGCTTGCTATGAGGAAAACCAGACTCTAATTTGTAGAAGTGCAAATGGGCTAACAGGATAGAAGGCAATTGCACTAAATGAATAATGGGCAGACTTAGCCCTGCTGAAGGGTGAATTACTTGTAAGCCTTTTGATTATCCTCTCTGGTGTACGACTGTAAACATTTTCTCAGGAAAGCTGCTTCAAGCCTTTCAATGTGGAATGTGAAATATCAGTATTATCTATGAAATATTTAAAAATACATTCAAATGAGATTAAGTGACACATTTATAAATTCATTGACGTACTGTAATCCTTGAAATGTTGCATAACTATATGTGTGCATTTCGTGAATCACATTTTTATTGCTTGCTGGTTTTTCAGATGTAGTTATTTAATAGCATTTATGACACGGCTCCGATGCCAGGAACAATTCTAAGTACTTTACCTGTATTAATTGCTTTAATCTACCCAAAAGACCTCAAAAGCAAGTCATACTATTATTACCATCTCACAGGGGTGGATGCTGTGAGGTCTGGTAATTTTCCCTGCTGCTACAATGGAGCGAGGATTTGGACCTCTTGATTTGGCTGTCAGTATTCCTTCTACCTGCTCGCTTGATGGTCTGAGATACTCCCACACTATAGAAATGCTTTTTCTTTTTGCTACTTTAATGAAACAGCTTCCTTGTTTCACAGGCTCTGCACCATCCTGTGAGTGACAGAAAGAACCTTTACTCATAAAGTAAATATTTTCCTGCAATAAGTTGGCCTTTCACCTACTTCGACTACCCTCATAAGAACGTAGTTCAGAACAACTTGCTAAAAATCTTCTAATTTTACATTTATTATCATGACCTTATACCACATGGAAGACGTTTTGGCAGTGTATTTTCAGGCACATTTGTGGGAGATTGGGATCATGAATTCTGCTTCAAGCATTTGCAGTGTAGTGTGTGAATTCACTTTTCACCTGGTGATCACTTAGGTTCCTCTTACACCTCAATCACCAAGCTGGATGTTAATAAATGCGAGATTTTGGAATGGATCCATTGAACAGACCTAACAACAAGAATGATTCCCATTAGAATAATGTATTCTAAAGACAAAAATAGGAAGACACTGCTGGATTTAATGTAGGTCTCACTCTGCTCATTTTTGTTTTGTTTTTTGTTTATTTATTCTTTTTTTTAATATGAAATTTATTGTCAAATTGGTTTCCATACAACACCCAGTGCTCATCCCAACAGCTGCCCTCCTCAATACCCATCACCCACCCTCCTCCCCCCACCCCCCATCAACCCTCAGTTTGTTCTCAGTTTTAAGAGTCTCTTATGTTTTGGCTCCCTCCCTCTCTAACCTTTTTTTTCCCTTCCCCTCCCCCATGGTCTTCTGTTAAGTTTCTCAGGATCCACATAGGAGTGAAAACATATGGTATCTGCCTTTCTCTGGAGGACTTATTTCACTTAGCATAACATCTTTGAACACGGAAGTACCACTGGATGTGATACGGATAGGAGGTGCTCATGTGCCCTCCATGTTCACCTTGGAATGTTCTTTGGATTTCCTGAGACTAAGATCAAGCAGTTTCAGCAGCGTAAAAAGATCTGGACTCTTCAAATACAAAAATATCTTTTTAATAGCATCAGCAGTATCATTTATTTGTCATATATAGATTATTTCCTATATCTTTACTGTCTCAGCTTTTATCATTTGGAATGTTTTTGGAATAAATATTTCTGAGCCATAAAACAAACAATTACAATGGAGAATAAAAAGTATTAATCTGAAAGTAGTATCACACGAGAAATACAGGAAAAGAAATACCAGTTCAGTTTTAGCCTAAATAATTGTGCTTATAATTATACTAATTAATATATTAAATAAGAAGGCCTGAAGTGGACCTTGAAGTGAATATATGAAGGTAGAAATGAAAAGAAACAGTTTCACTTTGATTACATATATCATTACGAATTACCATTAGGAAATGTTCAAGCAACAAAGAGAAACGTTTAAATAATTGGTGTAATACATCTATCTTTTGAATAATTGTTTACAATAAAGAAATTGATATCATATTTTGTTTATTTTTTGTTTTTATTTCTTTTTACATTAAAATTATGATGTATAAGTAGAGGTGCCTGGGTGGCTCAGTTGATTAAGTGTTGACTTCAGCTCAGGTCATGATCCCATGGTTCTTGAGTCTGAGCCCCGCATCCGGCTCTGTGCTGACAGCTCAGAGCCTGGAGCCTGTTTTGGATTCTGTGTCTCCCTCCTTCTCTGCCCCTCTCCTGCTTGTGCTCTGCCTGTCTCTCAAAAATAAACATTTTAAAAAAATAAATAAAATAATTATGCATAAGTAAATTAAGCCATTTTTATTTGATTGTTCATGACAATAAAATCCATAATCAATGGATTGGTTTTGCTAGTGAACAGGTAGATGACTCCCTGAATTTTTCTGCTAATTTTTTCTTGGATCCAAATTAATGGGAAAAAGTAATCTATTAATATTTTATTCTGAATATGAAAAAATAGTAGCATTATAAAATTAAGAACACACTTTTCAAATTCTTTCATATTTCTTTACTTTCTTTACCTCTCCTCTGAGCCTGAGGTAATCACAGAATCTCATCAATATTGATGTAAGGACCCATTCCATCAAGAACTGAAAATTCCTTCAACTAATGTCATAATCATTTTAATTCCACCTTTTTTGCTTCCTTCCATTTTTTGGGGGGTGGGAAATCTTAAGATTCAGTAAAGACTTAGATAATCATATTTAATTGCTGTGTTATTATTAAAATATATACTTATAAGTGTTTAAAAATTGAAGTAGAATTACAGAAAATTGGTATTTATCCTAGGCATGCAAGGTTGATTTATCATTTGAAAATAAGTCAATGAGTGACACCTGGGTGGCTCAGTTGGTTGCGCTCCTGATTTTGGCTCAGGTCATGATCTCTTAGTTTGTGAGTTCAAGGTCCACATTGAACTCACTGCTGTCAGCACAGAGCCAGCTTCGGATCCTCTACCCCCCCCCCCTTGCTCTCTGCCCCTCCCCCTGCTCATTCTGTCTCTCTCTCCCAAAATATTTAAAAAAATCAATGTAAGTAACCATATACACATAATAAAGAAGAAAAATTATATAATTATTTTAATAGGTGAAGAAAAGTATCTGACAAAATTTAACACTCATTCATGATAAAAACTCAGCAAACTGGGAATAAGAAATTTTATCCTTCTGATAAACAGCATTTACAAAAAAGCTTTCAGTTCATATAACTAATGATGAAAGACTAATATTGAGATGCTTGCCCTCACCACTTTTCTTAAACATTGTACTCTAAGTCCTAGCCATTGGAATATGTCAAGAAAAAGAAAAAGGAAGAAAAGGCATACAAATTGGAAAGGAAAAGTAAAATGTCCATTGTTGTTCATGCAATTGTTAATGTAGAAAACTTTAATGAATCTACCAAACAGCTACTAGAACTAGTAAGTAAAGTTAACAAGGTCACAGATTACAAAGCTGAAATTAGTGAAATTGAAATTAAACATATTAATAGTTTGCTATTGGTGAAAACATACACAAATATCTAAATGGATGGAAAGGAGTATCCATAAATAGACCCATCTATGTGATTTTTTTTTATGTGATTGATTTTTGACAAAGCTGTCAAGGCTATAGAAAGGAGACAGGAAAGTCTTCTAAACGGCATTGAAAATACTGCAAGTTGTTGTGGGTGTTTTTGTTGCTGTTGTTTATTTTTGAGAGAGAGAAAGACAGAGTGTGACAGGGGCAGAGACAGGAGAAGACACAGAATCCGAAGCAGACTCCAGGCTCTGAGCCATCAGCACAGAGCCCTACATGGGGCTCGAACCCACAAACTGCGAGATCATGACCTGAGCCAAAGTCAGACTCTTAACTGAGCCACCCAGGCACCCCTACTGCAAGTTTTATATGTGAAAAAAAATTAGCATCAATTCTTATCTCTCACAGTGTATAATTAACATGAAATGTACACTATACCTAAATGTAAAACGAAACTAAAATTTCTAGCAGAAAACACAGTCTCTTTGCAACACTTTGCAAACTTTGTGTTTAGCACACAAA